TTCTGTGTGTTCTTCCTTGCATTAAGGAGTTTGCTAGCATTTATTTTGCAAGCTTTTATGAAGGTGAGGAGATATGCTTTGTACCTACTGGAACTGGACAAGACATGTTAAAAGCTCTGTAAGAGGAGTTAGAGCTTGATAAAACAGAAACCTTGCAGTATCTTGGCATAAGTGATTTACAGCTCCATCTAGGGGTGGTGAAGCATCAGGGCAACGATGTACCAGTGCACTGCAAATTAAGGACTGCTTTTTGGCACAGGAGATACTTAGGAGGGTGAAAACTTCGGTTACAGTAATATAGATCACAAATTAAATACCCTGCTTACCAGGCAGGCTGCTGGGGATGCGGGTACAGTCAGTCTTTCCTGCGTGGAGATTCTTGAAACCTTATGCAGTGGCATGATTCCTGGGTGTACTGTGGACTAAAAACACACTAATGAGTCAAAAGGAAAAAGTATTTTAGTTAAATGAAACAGAGACTCAGTGATCTAGTTTTGGTTGCTGGTGGATTGAGGAGTGTTGGTGCAAACGGTGCTTTCACCAAAAAAGCAGATTGAAACTGCAGAACATAACCTGTTAATATTTTTAAGAGGAGGTGCAGCCTTTTGCTGTGGGTATAAGTCGAAGATTCAGAAAGTTTTGAAAGACTGTATACTCACTCTGAAAATGTTCTCTTTTGTTCATGTGTGTGTAACTGTACTTCAAGATAGAAATGGTTGATGTTTCTGACTCCCCCTCCTTCTATTCCTCCTTGTCTTCCCTGCCCACGTGCATGAGTTGAACGAGCTAATGCGTTGTCTGTCGCAGTTTAGCCAGGTTGATGCCTCATGTTGCAAGTGGTGGCAAGGGGCCTGTGACTGGCATTGCTCTGAGCTCAGTGAGCTGCCCCTTGAGCCCCAGTAACAGCTCGTGCATTTTCTTTGTGCTATTCTGCCCCAACTGTGAAGCAAATAGTGTTGGTTCAAGCACCCTTTATGGCTATGAGGTATGAAATTATATTAAATGATGTGAAAATGGTTAGAGACTTCATATTAAAGGTGAAGGGACTAGATATGAAGTCTTGGTTGCTGAGTAATCATTCTGCTAGTAGCATGTAGTAGCATGTAGAAAATCAGCCTGGAAACAGTTTATTCCTATTGTTATTTTAGACTTTGAGCCTCAAAATGATCAGCAGTTATGCTATTCCAGGAAAGGAAAAGTCTCACTTTCTTGCAATGCAGTGCCTCCTGCAGGAGCTGTCTCTGGACACGTAGCCCTGTGACCACCTACACTTTCTTTTGGGGGCCTTTGAGCACTTTGTCACAGCAGAGAAGACCTGTAGTGTACTTTTTGTAGCATGCTTTGTCTGAATATGAGAGATGATTTCCTCATTTGGGGAATTATTTTCAGGATTATCTTGCCCCATGCATTCACTTTGCCACAAATGGCAAAGCTCCAGCTGGGGGAGGAATGAAATCTTCTTGAGAAAGTGAAGCTTCTGATTTGAAATCTTCTAGTGCTTATTGGGAACAGTGGGTGGCCTTTTCTTTTGAGCCTCCCTGTTTTCAGTATCAGTTGACTTGACTCTCATTGTCATTCATCCTGACTTCTGTGAAAGAAAATTGCTGGGGGAAATTGTTGGAATTTGGAAACTGTGACAACAGATCCTCTGGCTGACTTGCAGGTGGAGCTGCTGACAGGAGAGTTTATTCATTAAAAAACAAAAGGAATGGTTCCCATGTGCTGTAAAATTTCACCAAGATGTATCTTCTTGGCATGTGTGTATTAGGTTGCCTCCCAGGTGGTATTAAAATATTTGTCCGAGATATACTCAGTAGTTCCTGAGGTTAATCTTCCAAGAACTAGGTAATTACTGGAAAATGTTGTCTTGTGTGCCTTATCAAGAGACTGGTAGTACAATGAAGTAAAATTTATCTATGGTAGAACTGCATTTAATGTTTGTTTGTGCTCAGTAGGTAAAACTTGGCAATTACTTGCTGTTAATTGTCATTTGATCTATTTCCCTGTAAATATCTATAGGTACAGAGGAACAAATTCTCAAACTATTCCTCTGAGATTTTTTATTTCCTTGGCATTTTCTAAGTGTGTGCTGGTGCCCCAGCAGTTTCAGAATCTCAAACGGAATAGTCCACTATATGAATCTCTCTTAGCATTTATTAGTGTCGGTAGTTAGTATCAACAGAAGTTAGCTGTTGGCAGACTGCTATAATCCTTGTGCAGATCTTTCTCATTTACAGCTGCATGTGAGAAGAATCCACAAATAGTTTTCCATATCACCTATTGTAGGTTATTTTGATAGTTGACAAATCAATATTCTCAAGCATGTAAGTTGTTGTACAGTATAGGACAAACAATTATTCTAGCAAGGTAAAGAATACATTGCAAATCCTTTTCTACAAATAAATTTGTGCTGATTACTCCTTTGTGCTTTCATGGCTAAAGCTGATCCCATTCTGTCTTCTTTTCATTAGAAGCACTAGATTGCTGGTAACCATTTCTGTAGTATTTGCATTAATTCTGCAACAGGAGTAGAGCAGCTGTAATGCTCATACTCGCTGAAGCTTGAAATCACTGAAAATCAGTTTTGGTAAAATATGTACTTGAGAAGACATGTCTTTCAAGTGTTAACAAAGTCCTGACAACAGAAGTTTACACTTAATAGGTAACCTCTGGTGTGCACTTAGGATAAATAAGACTGCAAGTCCTGCAGACATCCTGCAGCACCCGTGTTTTTGTGGTAGCCGTAGCCCCTACACATACATATCGCAATCATGCAGTTAGACCAACATGCACAGCGAACAGCGAGTTTCGCTGTGTTATTTACATGTAACTTAGGCATGTGGTTTTTATCACTTTGTATTTCCATTAGAAGGAAATGGTTTAGAAGTATACTGTGGTAAAAGACAGGACGGCTGTGGTCTAACTGTCCTCAGCTTATCACCGATTCTCATCGTAGCCCACCTCTTCTGAACCAGTTGTGACTGGTTCAGTTTACAGGGGTTTTCCACTAAATAACCAAACCTTCCTGCAAACAAACACCCCAGCCCCCAGAAGCCTTAAAAATCCTCTTATCCTCTTATTCGGTCTAAATAAATAAAAATTAAAAACTTAGTATGAACAATGTATGTTTGTATAAATAAACTTCACGGACATGTGAGCTGTTGCAGATTGAAAAGCTGCAACCGTGTACTTGAGAAACCCCAGAAACTGTGGGGTGATAGCTATGCTTAGCATAGTTTAGGGTTGCATGTAGGCAGGGGGGTTTGTGCAAAAAGCTTAAAAAGCTCTGTTTTCTCTCTGTTTTCCTGGGCTGCATGAACTGCATCTTTCAGTTTCATGTACGAGACACGACAAGTGGATTTGGAGATCATTTTAGTGAAGGAGATCTTGGTTCATTAATGCAATCAAGCATTTCTCTAGCAGGGGATAAAGGTAGGGGGACTGGGACAGTGATATCGATGATGTCACTGAAATCTACAGTAACTGCATTCCAAAAAATACCTTTGTAGCTATTTTATTTCACTTTGATTAGAACTGAACATTAACAAAGAATAGCATGGGATATCAGCTGCTTCTCAACAAGAGTTTGACTAAAGACTAGACATCACGTCTTTCTTCACATTGAAGACTAACATGACATTGAAGGCAGTAATTAGTTGCATTGGCTTCAGTATGCAGATTGTAAAAGAGCTTGTAAGATATGCTGTTAGTAAAATAGCTGTGGTTGTTAGAACTGAGCCTGACTTATGTTCTCCTTCGCTTGCGATAGCGTGAGCCCTAGAAAGCAGTCCTGTTGTAACACCACTGCATTTCCTCCTTGCTTGTCTTAGCTCTTCAACAGAAAAGATGTAGTGAGCTAGATTTTATTGTTCTGTGTAAAAGTGTTCCAGTTTAACACATTGAAAAGCAGAAAACTGATGGTTTTAAGGATCTTTGATTTCCTGAGGAATTTATGCGAACAGATAAATGAATCAGCTTTTCTAGCCATCTTGGTGCGTAGTGTGGAAATGCTGGAGAACAAACACAGGCCTCACAAATGCGCCTGGAGGAAAGCTTTTATTGCCTTCTACATCATTACAGATACAGTGAGATACAGTGAGTGTAAATGCTGCAGGCACTTATCTTTAAACTTATGGCCCCAAACTGAGCAATCGCTTTACCCCAATATGTCTACTTCTGATTTTTCCAAAGAAATTTGAAAGAAACTGATTTGTGGAACCTGGACATGAAGTGTTCAAAGTTCAACATCTGAGAATTTTTTCCTCCATTGTGAAAATACTTTCTCTATCAAGGCTTCAGATTTAAGGTTTTGCTCAGCTTAAAAAAGGTATCTCTAAACAAGATTATGCTCATGATCATTACAGTTGTTTCCTTTCTTGGAAACTACAACGTGCAGGTTTTCAGTCTGTGTCACAGCGCTGGTGTGGGGCTTGGGGGATTTCTTCCATCTGTACATGTGGACCTTAGAATTGCTTTTATGCTCATCTAACTTCTTAATTCAAAAATATTATGTTCACTTTTAAAAATTGCATTTAATTGACTCTTAAAGCACACATCTCTAGAATATTTAAGTCCTGATTTTGTGGGTAAATGACAGTTGCAATAAATCATTGA